GTGTGTGTGTGGTGTGTGTGTGTTTGGGCGTGTGTGTTTGGGTGTGTGTGTTTGGGTGTGTGTGTTTGGGTGTGTGTGTGTGTAGTGGGTGTGTGTGTGTGTGTGTGTGTGTGTGTGTGTGTGTGTGTGTGTGTGTGTGTGTGTGTGTGTGTGTGTGTGTGTGTGTGTGTGTGTGTGTGTTTTGTTTTAAAGGTGCTCTTGTGTTGTCCTTGTTCAGACGCACTGCTCTTTGCCTCCTTCTGCGTTTGTGTTGCTTTTGATCCAGCATTTGCCTCTCTTTTTGAGGTGTTCCTCTTTTCTCCTATGCCTGGGCAGAAGGTAAAACTTCGTCCGCTACCTTGGTTTTATTTCCGTTTTCATTGTTCTTTGCATCCTTTGTCGTTTCTCTGGGTTTTGATCAAGCATTTGCCTGTGTTTTTGAGGTGTTCTTCTTTTGTCCTGTGCCTGGGTGGAGATAGAGGTCCGTCACCTTGTTGCTTTTATTTCCGTTTGCATTGCTGTTTGCATGCTTGTTCGTGATTTTTGGCATAGCATTTGCCTGTGTTTTTGAGCTGTTCTCCTTGTCATTTGTTCTGCCTGAGTAGGAGAGAAACTCCGTGACCTATTTTGCTTGTATTTCTGATTTCATTGCTCTTTGCCTCCTTCTGCGTTTGTGTTGCTTTTGATCCAGCATTTGCCTCTCTTTTTGAGGCGTTCCTCTTTTCTCCTATGCCTGGGCAGGAGGTAAAACTTCGTCCGCTACCTTGGTTTTATTTCCGTTTTCATTGTTCTTTGCGTCCTTTGTCGTTTCTCTGGGTTTTGATCAAGCATTTGCCTGTGTTTTTGAGGTGTTCTTCTTTTGTCCTGCGCCTGGGTGGAGATAGAGGTCCGTCACCTTGTTGCTTTTATTTCCGTTTGCATTGCTGTTTGCAAGCTTGTTCGTGTTTCTTGGCAGAGCATTTGCCTATGTTTTTGGGCTGTTCTCCTTTTGTTATGCCTGGGTAGGAGAGAAACTCCATGACCTATTTTGCTGGTATTTCTGATTTCATTGTTCTTTGCCTGCTTCTGCGTTTGTGTTGACATTTGTTCCAGCATTTGCCTCTCTTTTTGAGGTGTTCCTCTTTTCTCCTATGCCTGGGCAGGACATATGCCTGGGCAGGAGGTAAACCTCCGTCCGCTACTTTGGTTTTATGTCCGTTTTCATTGTTCTTTGCGTCCTTTGTCGTTTCTCTGGGTTTTGATCAAGCATTTGCCCGTGTTTTTGAGGTGTTCTTCTTTTGTCCTATGCCTGGGTGGGAGATAGAACTCCGTCACCTACATTGCTTTTATTTCCGTTTGCATTGCTGTTTGCATGCTTGTTCGTGTTTTTTGGCATAGCATTTGCCTATGTTTTTGGGCTGTTCTCCTTTTTATTTGTTCTGCCTGAGTAGGAGAGAAACTCCGTGACCTATTTTGCTTGTATTTCTTTCTGATTTCATTGCTCTTTGCCTCCTTCTGCGTTTGTGTTGCTTTTGATCCAGCATTTGCCTCTCTTTTTGAGGTGTTCCTCTTTTCTCCTATGCCTGGGCAGGAGGTAAAACTCCGTCCGCTACCTTGGTTTTATTTCCGTTTTCATTCTTTGCGTCCTTTGTCGTTTCTCTGGGTTTTGATCAAGCGTTTGCCTGTGTTTTTGAGGTGTTCTTCTTTTGTCCTATGCCTGGGCGGGAGATAGAACTCCGTCATCTACATTGCTTTTATTTCCGTTTGCATTGCTGTTTGCATGCTTGTTCGTGATTTTTGGCATAGCATTTGCCTGTGTTTTTGAGCTGTTCTCCTTGTCATTTGTTCTGCCTGAGTAGGAGAGAAACTCCGTGACCTATTTTGCTTGCATTTCTGATTTCATTGCTCTTTGCCTCCTTCTGCGTTTGTGTTGCTTTTGATCCAGCCTTTGCCTCTCTTTTTGAGGTATTCCTCTTTTCTCCTATGGGCAGGAGGTAAAACTCCGTCCGCTACCTTGGTTTTATTTCCGTTTTCATTGTTCTTTGCGTCCTTTGTCGTTTCTCTGGGTTTTGATCAAGCATTTGCCTGTGTTTTTGAGGTGTTCTTCTTTTGTCCTATGCCTGGGCGGGAGATAGAACTCCGTCACCTACATTGCTTGTATTTCCGTTTGCATTGCTGTTTGCATGCTTGTTCGTGATTTTTGGCATAGCATTTGCCTGTGTTTTTGAGCTGTTCTCCTTGTCATTAGTTTGTTCTGCCTGAGTAGGAGAGAAACTCCGTGACCTATTTTGCTTGTATTTCTGATTTCATTGCTCTTTGCCTCCTTCTGCGTTTGTGTTGCTTTTGATCCAGCATTTGCCTCTCTTTTTGAGGCGTTCCTCTTTTCTCCTATGCCTGGGCAGGAGGTAAAACTCCGTCCGCTACCTTGGATTTATTTCCGTTTTCATTCTTTGCGTCCTTTGTCGTTTCTCTGGGTTTTGATCAAGCATTTGCCTGTGTTTTTGAGGTGTTCTTCTTTTGTCCTATGCCTGGGTGGGAGAAAGAACTCCGTCACCTACGTTGCTTTTATTTCCGTTTGCATTGCTGTTTGCATGCTTGTTCGTGTTTTTTGGCATAGCATTTGCCTATGTTTTTGAGCTGTTCTCCTTTTAATTTGTTCTGCCTGAGTAGGAGAGAAACTCCGTGACCTATTTTGCTTGTATTTCTGATTTCATTGTTCTTTGCGTGCTTCTTTGTTTCTGTTGTCTTTGCTCCATCGTTTGCCTATGTTTTTGAGGTGTTCGTCATGTCGGGCGTGTGACCCCAACCAACCCGCTTCGTGAACCTCGCGCGCCGTTTGAAGCCTCGCTTCCAAACGCTCTTCTGACCGACCCCTGGCTCGCAATCCAAACTTTGCCGTTGTGCTGCTCGCAAGGCTAAATGCCCTGGATTAGCCGAAGGATTTGAGCCATGGGGGCCCTTCTAAGGGAGCATAGGGCACCGGGATTCGGTGGAATTTGGAATCTGCCCACTTTGACGCTTAGAACAAAGCAAAAAAGGCCCGACTCAACAGGACGTATAGAACAACGCAAAACGCAAGTTTTAAAACTTCCTCCTCCGCCGGTCTTTGGGTCGGTCGCCCGCTTCTCCCACCCTCCGCCGGTCCTTGGGTCGGTCGCCCTGTTTTTGCAGGATCCGCGTTGGTTCTCGGGGTGCCGGTTGCCCCGGGGGGTCCTTGGGTCCCCCTCCCGTGGGCCTTATGCAAGCACATGGGGACAGATTCTAAATTCATCTAGGTTTTTCTAGTTGGGGGGGCTGCCCTGCTTGGTCCCTTCCTGGGACCCTGCAGGGGCCCCACAAAACTGATACGGAGTTACAGGTAAACTTAACAAATTTGTATTTTTCTTTCCTCGCTCACTTGCCCGCAGCCGCCTCAAGGGTCAGGAATCCTATCAGAGTGCCCAGCCTAGGTATGCACAGTAGGACACTCTGAGGCTGTACAGTCTGTACATGAACGAAGCCATGCCGCCAAACACCCACACCACCCGAACCCCACATCACCCCAACCACCCACATGACCCGAACCACCAAGACCGCCCCAAGCCACCCGCCCCCTGAGCCACCCACGCTGACGAGCCGCCATCCGCACCGCCCGCCACCAGTGTGAAGGCCCCCCCCTCTCCCAAAAGGCTGCGAACTAGCCCTAAACCCTAAACCCTCATAGCGTCATCCCTGCAAAGGGCGCCCAAATCCTCCAACTACCCCAAGCTGCCCAAGCCGAAGCCACCCAAGAAACTCCCTAAGCCCTGAGGCACCCTAAAATGGCGGGGGGTGGGGTCGGCGGCACTGGCGGTAGCCATTAAATAAAAATGATATACCGCGGGCATGAAATCGGGCAGCGCGAGGTCCCCAAAGGACCGAGCAAATGCGGACCTTTTAGCCCGGGTCGTCCCGGGAATAGCCTTGCTGGCCTCTGGCCTTCTGCGAAGCAGAATTAGGCCGGACGCCAGTGCCGCCGACCCCCGCGTGCCGCCGGTGAACGGTTTTTTTTTTCGTGGTTTTTTGCGTCGCCACGGAGGCCCCCAGAGGGCGCGCATCATGAGCATCAGCGGGTCCAGCCCGGGACCCAGGCGCGCATCAGGAGCATCAGCGGCTCCCGGGGCGGGACCCCGGGGGCGCATCAGGAGCATGATGCCCCCCAAAGGGCGGGCATAAGCGACGTGTCTAAGCCCGTGGCTAGGAAAAGGGAGTTTAGGGGCCTTATAAAGTGCTTAGAAACGTTAAGGGAGTCTAGGAGCCTCAAACGCTTAGAGATTTGAAGGGAGTTTAGGGGCCTGAAAATGCTTAGAAACTTAACGCTTAGAGATTTTAAGGGAGCTCAACATGCTTAGAAACTGCTCGCCCCGGGCTTCTGCGTGCGCTGCCCGCCCATGGGCGCAGCCCCTTAAAATAAAAATGATATACCGCGGGCATGTGTTGTATCTAGTCTTTCGTTATCTTGAAACACTGACGGAAGGCATTGCTTTCGGTTATGCATTTTGGGTTTCGGAGTTCAAAATGGCCTGCAATCATGCTTGCGTTGGGCTAAGCTCCCTGCACATGGTCGGTGTCATTGCTCTTCACGCTGGCTTCCTTCTTCACCCTGCGACCAAGAGAATGGGACAGAGCAAAAGGCCAACGCATGGCTAACCGTTCGGCAAACCACTCCACCTCCTCACTTTCCCTCAGCCACCCATAAACCCAAAGCATTCTGAAGCCTGATCCGCAGGTGCTCGGGCGAGGGGTCCAAAACAGCGTTGATCACGGAGCCCGTCTCGGCCAGAGCCCAGGCAGCCAAAGGACGCACTAATACAACAGCGACCAGGAGTTTTTGCAGGATCAGGGCTGTTGGGAAAGTCAAAGGCTGGAAAAGCCCAAGCATGCCCAAGCCGCAATCCCTGAAGCTCCGCCGCTGCTTGAGATTTAAGGGCCCGGCCACGCCGATCTCCGCAGGCGGGTTGACTGGGTGCCCTATGGGCTCCTGTATCTCGAACCTGCATGAGTTCAGGTTCAGGGTGAAGAGGTGATTCAGGGTTGTAAGTTACGAGGCCGGTTTACATTCAGAGCTTTGATTGGGACATCTTTCGGAAGTTTAGGTGGTCGTTTTTGATCTACCCTGAACAACCCCTAAACCCTACGCACATCCTACAACCGAACCCTATAAACCCCTAAACCTACCGAACCTGCGTCACCTTGCTAGATTCTGGCCGGTGCACGGGACCTATGCACCCATCTCTCCCTCCCTCTCTTCTTCTTCTTCTTCTCCTTCTTCTTCTTCTTCTCCTTCTTCTTCTTCTTCGCACTTTAGGGCCCCCCTGGGTCTTTCTCACGGCAGCAGTCCTGATTTTCAAGTCTGCTGGTTGTGGCCCTGTGTTCTTTAATCCAGGGTCAAACACTGCCCGCCCTTCAGGAATCCAGTTGTGTCTCGTGCGCCACAAGCAGGGGGGGGGGGGTCCTCGTTTTGTGGATCCGCTTCCTCCACGGTCGAGTCAAAGTGCCCCCCCCCCCCCCCCCCCATTCCGAGCGCGTCGTCAAGCTGTGGTCGTTGTTGGTCTGTCTCTCTCTCTCTCGCTCTCTCGCTCTCTCGCTCTCTCGCTCTCTCGCTTTGTCCCTTTGTTTCTTTTCTGTTTCTGGGGGCGTGGGGGAAACCCTCCGGGCGTCATCGCCCACCCCTGTGTTCGGGGAACTCATTAGCCGCACGGTCTATCTCTCTCTCTCGCTCTCTCTCTCCCTCTCCATCTCTCTCTCACCCTCCCTCCCCAGGCCTCACGCTGCTGTGGCTGCCATCCTTCCTTATTTGAGGCGAGGAAAGGTGGAGAAAAGGGCGCAGGTTGTTGTGGGAGGGCGGAGTCCCTCGGGTGGTTTTGTGTTAGGGTGCGGTTCTGTTATTGGGCTCTAACATGGGTGGTGCGATCGGGTTTGGAGTTCAGGGAGCTCCTTCGATGTTCTGGTGTGCTGCCAAGCTTCAGCTCTTCTTCGCTGTACTCATATAGCGGCTGAGGCGTGTACCTCCACAGGATCAGGATCGTCGAGGGTGACGGCCGCATGAAGGCAACCCCCTGGATGCCACTTTTGTGCTGAAAAGGGATGACCTTTGGGAGGTAAAACTCTCTTCGCCAAGTGTGGCACCTCACGAAGCCGGAGATGCGGCTGCATCCACCACCGGTGAGATCCAGCGTGTTCACATCCTGGGCTTGGCGGCGAGTCCCCTGCTTCCCCTGCCCCCTACTACCCGACAAACCCAACCGCCTTGCGCCTGGGCCAAAGAATCCGAAAACGAATGCCCAAAAACACGTTCAACCCCACAGGGCAACCACACACACACCCGCAGTTGAACTGGGCCGAGGATCCAAGTCATTCTCCCCGCGGGATGACTCTCGTTCATCCCCGGCTTTCTGCGGAGCAGGGCCCAGGGCAAGGACCCCAGATTCGTTTGGGTTCTCCCGGGTGCCAGGTGTCATACAGTGTCATTGTCAAAGGGGTGCTGTAGGGTGTCAGCGGGTGTTATGGGGGTGTCATGGAGTGTTGTGGGGCGTGGGATGTTCTGGGCGTCACAGGGCGCTAGATGCTAGAGGTGCAAGATTCCAGGGTCGGCAGAGTCCGATTTCTAGAACCCAGATGGAGGGCAGATGGGGCACTTCGAAGCTCTTACGTCCTCTCGGCTCAAGCTTCGGTAATAGGTCGCAGGTCCACTTCGGGTGATTGGAGGCTGGTCAAGTGGCTTCTGCCTCCGATGGCTTCATGATCACGATGTCGTCCTGAGGCGGGCGACTGGGCAGCGCACTGCTTAAAGAAGACTTTTGTGTCCACTTTGAGGGAGAGGTCCACAGGCTGCAAGCTTCGAATACAGGCCTTCAGCACTTGTAGGGAGCTGCCGTCACTGGAGTTGACATCGGAGGCGTTCGTCGGGAAGGCTCCTTTCGTGACCTCGGGCGCAGTCCGGAGCCGAGCCCTGCAGCAATCAAAGCTTCTCTAGTCTTTGACATCTCTCCTTCTTCCTCTTCCTCCTCTTACGCGTCACAGCTCTGAACATTTGCCCTCTTGCCAAGCCGCCATGAAGTGGCCCTCTTTGATCAGCGCGGCGAAGCTGTACACGACATACTTGGCATCCTACATGAGCATGGAAGCACCAGGTTTAGGGGCGCGTTGGGGCAGATATATTCTGGGAAAGCCGTAGCCTGTAGTATGGCCAAAACATGTTGGAATCGAACGCTTAAGCACGACCGTCATGGTAGCAGCAGAACTACCCAGCAAGAGCGCCTTCGTCTTCTTCACAATCACGTCGTCGATGCTCGTACACGCTGTGCCACCTGACAGGTAGGATGGCGGCTGAGAGAATCACAGGTCACATTGGAACTCCCACAAGACCCTGAAACCTCCCACCCCAAAGTCACAGGCAACGAGGCAGCGGCCGGTGTAGAAGAAGATACGCGATTTGTTCGCGGCGGCGATGAACCTCGGGCTTCTCGAGCTTCAGGCTTAAAATGGTTGAAAAGGGCATTGGAAGCACTGGACAAAAGCCACGCACATACGCACCCGCTGACTCTGTGTCGTGGCCTTGCACCTTTAACTGCGCAAACACAATAACGAGCCGTGCACCTCAACCTCAAGATACCCCAAACACACCTCAAATCCTCAAACCCTCAACCCTCAAAAGCCCTCAGTACCACAGAATTCCGGAGGTATACAGAGCTCCAAAGTCTGCTCTCCTTGGGGAGGCGCGTGTAAGGGCCCTTTGTCTGCCACTGGCCCTGGGTGGGCTCCTGATCAGAAGGGTTTAGAAGGGTTTAGGGTTCAGCGCTTTAATGGTTTCTGCCGTGCTGCATGTGTCGCGTGAGGCGTGATTTCTCTCCGGTCTCTGATGTGGGTTTCGGAGGTAATTCAGGGATGGCAGACCCAGGCCAGGAGACCGCTAGTTCGAGAAGTTTGCAACATTGTAGAGGAAATGTGTAGGAAATTACCACCGCAGCCGCTCTCCACGCCTGCGCCGAGGCATCGGTCTCCGCCTCCTCATCGAGCACCCCATGGCCGACCGGGCTCTGCACTTCAACCTCAAGTGGATGGGGTGGATCGGCTTTGGGCCACCGCTTCTTTGGATATTCAATGAGAAATGAAGGGGAAGTGGTAGCATTTGGACTTGGATGGTCCCTCATGGGGCGATCTCATCAGTGCCCAAAACCTGAAACGGACCAGAAGGCCAGTGTCACAACCATCTCAGGATGATGTACTGACAGCAGGTGCTATGGATCCCATGTGAACACACCTCTACACACTCTCTACTGAAATCACTCCTTCTTTGCTGTCCCCCCGCTCGGGACTGAACCCAGCTTTTCTCCTCCTTCGCATCCTTCTTACTGAAGTAGCCGTCGACCCTGAGATGAAACGTTGGCTGGAAAAGGGTGCAGTCATGGAACTGCGATAGTCTTAATAGAGGCTTCGCTGATCAGAAGACGAGCTCTGCTTGCTGAACACTCTGAAAACACATGCAAACCAGGAGAAGAATGATTGCGCCTTTCAGGGCATTTTGGGGGGCCAGGGGCTCCGACTCCGAATCACAGCAGGTTTTGCCCACACTGTTCCCTTGCTTTCCTTCTTCGAGAACAAGACAGTACCAAACACTGAGGACAACACCTGGTGTGATTCCCGCAGCCCTATTCCACAAAAGTCCATAAAGAGGGAGAGGCGAGTAAGAGAAACGAAAGAGGGGAAAAGAATAAGGAAAAAGCAGGGAAGAGGAGCGCAAGAGAGGGGAAGAAGAGAGGAAAACGACTGGAAAAGGAGGAGAAGTGAGAAAGAATGGGGGGAGGGGAGTGCCAAAGAGGGGAGGGGAGAGGAGAGGCAAAGGGATAGGAAGAGGAAGGAAAGGAGGATTCGCGTCGCCCGGCGTCACAGGGTGTAGTCGGATCGCGCTGCCGGGTGATATACCCTTCAAACAAAGGAAAGCAACATGCTCTATGCTGTCCGAAACCTTTCATACATAATCGCATCCCTTCTCGCAACTGTGCCGGCATGGACCTTTGGGTATAAAGTGGTGGAAGGCTACTGGATTTTCGAAAGAGCAAGAGAAAAGTTTTCTCACAGCAGACCTACAGCTCCATGCCACATGTCCACATGTCCTCTATGTTACTGTTTTTGGTGGGGCCCCTTTCCTCTGATCTTGAAAGGCTCTGTGTACTTCAGACTTTCATTGAAGAGGCTGTGGGATTCGGGACACCAGACAGAAGAGAATTATTTCTTCAAGCATCAGCTTGTAGGTCAGCTCATAGGTGTAGCCCATCCTGGGAGGAAGGGAACTGCAGAGATCTTGGATTCCGTGTTCCGGGTGCACTGAGTGGCCGGCTCAGTTGCCAGGTCTTGGTACACTCCACCTCGTGAGCCTGAAGACTCCAAGTCTCAAAACCCTTCATATCCTCACACCCTGACCGTCCCGCACCATAACCCACCTTCCCAACACTTCGGGCCCTTGATGTGATAGGCGAACTTGTCACCGCCCAAAACCTGCGCATGCTTCGACTCAGAAGGCTACACATCTCGCGTGGAGGGGCAATCTTCTCTGGCAGATAGCACTGACCTTTTGCAAAGAATTTGCCCGCAGCAAGCTGCTATGAACTGCTCTTTAACACCGATTGGCGGTGCCCTCGGTGGCGACAAGCGAAGCTACAATTAACCACACCCTCCTGTCCTCACCACCCACTATGAACCTCTGATCAAAGATGATCTCCGAGCCACGCCAGTTGAGCAGTGTGTTGCCGAACCCATCTTTCTGGGAAGCAACTGCAGCGCTGCCAGCAAGCCGCGCGACGAGAGCATTAAAAGGCGGACGCGCTCAAGCGTCTGGAGATCGGTTCAGGCCTCTCTTGCCACGAAGAGACCCCGGAGAAATCGATATCCGCCAGGAGATGCGCCTTCTCTTCGTGCTGGCCTAGCTTGAGGTGACATGTCGTAGTTGCCATCTACGTGCCGGGCTGCATGTTGCGTAGCGTGACGCGGAAAACGTAAGGCAACCCAGCACGGGCACTTTACAACTCTAAAGGGAACCAGACAATATGCACTTTGTCATGTCCAGGAATAGACAGGCTTGGTGCTGCTCCGGAAGAGCTGCTTCGGCGGACTGCACGGCTCACACGCGTCTAAGACAAAAGACATAGTGCGGCCGTTACACTGCCGAGCAGAGAAACGTGCCCTCTACCTGACATGGTCGAAGATGAAACTTGCGAGTGTCCGGTTTGTTGAGGATCCTAGCCCTTCGGCCGTTGCAGGAGAGCGCAATGCTGGTTCTGAAATGGCCGGTTTAGCCTTGGGATGACGAATTCGGCCCATCAAGCGAGCGTAGACCTTGCCCCCATATGCGCAAGGACCTCCTGAAGATACCTGTAACACTCCACTGTTGTCCTGCGAAGTGGGAACCCTGCATAAGTGGACGGCCACGCAACAGCCCACAGGAACAAACATGGACTACGGCGGATAATGACAGAGCAGTTGTTCACCTGAGCAAATATTCCCTTCTAATTTAGCCCCAGCGCGCTGGATAATGCTCATCTTGCTCCTCGGCGAACCAACTTGAACCAACTGCTCGCAGACGGAAGTCCACCGGGCATGCATGCTGTGCACTCTCGTGATGCACTTCGACGCAAAGAATGGCCATGATGGTGCATAACGCTCCGCGGGACCACCATGGCTCCAATCAGGAGGAACATCAGTTTTTTGTGTGTACTACATCAGCCCCAATTCAGCACAGCTGCTGAGGCTGCTAGGTGCAAGGCTTAGTTGACCAAATCTTGCATTGGACTCGGTTTCACTTCTTCCTGTGAAAAAGCCATGCCAGAATCAGATACTCAAGACACGCTTCACAGAACCTTCCGCCTTGGATCCGGAGTTCGCATGTGCGCTTGGCGCCTTCAGAAGCAAAGGTTCCCCCAAAAGTCTACACATCGAGAATCACGTGATACAATTCCCACATGTTCCCACCCCGGCCTTGGCCCAGAGGAGGTTGGCCAACTTCAGCGCCTCCTTGGGCTTCGGGCTGCTGTGGAAGACAAGCGCCTCGGGTGGCATCTGGCGAAGGGCACCCGATATATCATGAGATGATACGCTCCCCCAACAGCCGTTTTGGGACATTGTGGGAGCACTCCGAGAGCTACCTAGTCAGCCACCAAGGCCCTAGCCGCTCGCAGCAGTTGGGTCAGCCGCGAGTCCGAAAGCGCACCGTACCATCTCGCGACTTCATACCAGGCCTGGATAAAGAAGTCAGCTTCAGCATGGGTCAACATGGGCCACACTGGGCTGTTTTCACACCGCTTTTCATGTCTGGACATATATACATATACATATGTATATATATATATATATATAGACATACGCATCGAATAATTTCGGAAAACTTCGACCAAAACTTCCCAAAATTCCGGAAGCTGCGGGCCCGGCCCTTCCATCGGCCAGGATGTTTGGGTGGATAAAAGCCGGGTGAGAAAAAGCAAGCACCGGAAAAAACGGTTAAACGACTGCAGCAAGGCGTGCCAACCCATGCGTCCCTGCGGGGGATTGCGCCTGGGTTTCGCAGGCGCAGCGCTCGATGGCATGGGCTTTCCAGCATCCCGAAGCAAGCGCCCGCCAGGAACCCAAGAAGATGGAAAGAGACACTGAAAAGACTCGAGCAGGGCCCACAAGTCAAAAGCATGCCAAGGAGGGACGAAGGTGATGGCTTGAAGCTGTACCGATAGTCCAGGCAGTGCACAGGCGGTGCAATGGGCAGCCTGGCTCCATGGCTGATCTCCGAGCAACAGTAGGTATCAAACGAGTCGTGCAAAATGCAGCACGGGCCAAGGAGCATTTGAGGGGAGAACTCATGACGACAGTCTAGCCAGCAGGGATGCGCCTGGAGGAAGGTGGAACAGGAGAACACCGTCTCAGCAAGGACTTATGTATATACGTCGTTGACGATTTGTGTAGGTGCTCTGGATCTTCACGTGGGAGTGGTCCCCGAGCGTGAAAGCTTTTGGAGACGGCGCGGGTCTTACTTGTGCCAGGCTTTCGCCGAACAACCCAACATCGGAGTCATGTCATCTGAGAAGCGGCAGCATGGGAAGCACGGGTGATGGGGGGTGAACACGAAGGTGCCAAGATTGGTTGAGCGGATTTAAGGGATTGCCAAAATGTTCAAGTTCACGATATGTGCAGTAGGGCGTTTTTAACAAGCAAAGCTTTTGGCAGATGGAGGGGCAGACGGCGGCAGCACGCAGCGCTGGGATTGAGACATCCTGAATAGAAGTCTGAAATGCCTGCTGTCTGAAATCGGGCAATCAAGAACCCTAAGGTCCTTAGCTTTGGGGCCGTATCCTCGTACTTACTCTACTTCTCTAGACCATGTGTAGACAGATACTACTGTACTCTTAGTGCCTGGGAAAGCCGTTCCACAAAACGACTCCAAATCAGACTGAACTTGGAAGATAGCTCTCTCTTACACGGCGGGTTGTCGCGAGTGTTTGATACGATCTTTTCTCCAAAGCTAAACTATCCTACGGGGTTGGGTATGCCACATGGGGTGTGGGTGATTCAACAAGCTTTTTGCTAGCAAGGTGTCTGTTGGGACGTGCATGCCTGCAAAAAGCAGGCATGCTCTTAACACAAGCTCTCCTTTGGCGGAAAATTTCGCTCTGTCATTCGCGGACCTGCTGTCTCATCTGCTTGACGCCGCTTTGTGGAAAACACAGATCGGGGCCTTTGGGTCGACCCTAGGTGCGGGAACTCCCAGGAAGAAAGAAGAGAGAGAGATAGAGAAAAAACACCCCCTGTCTGAGGGTGTGAAGCCTTCCCTCCATCCTCGTATATGAAGCAAGCAGGTCCTGCTCCAGGTCCACAGCCATTGATCCACATTTTATGAACCCAACCCACACCACAGGGAGGAGCGAACTGCTACAATCTTCCCAATCCTCACAAAACCATTGCACATCGCGAAAGCATCGCTGGCCTGAATACCTAACAGACCACAACAGGAAGGACCCTAGTCCGAGCAGAGAACCATCTTCCCTCATTGCAGACTGGGCAAGCGAAACAACGCGTGCTACAGACAAAGGGGTTGATGTAGAGACACGCCTCGCAAAAGTGGGCTTAGCTGCCTCTGTGTTCTTGCCCTGCCAGAAGCGACTCTGTTTTTTTGGCCGCTTTCTTCTGAGAGCGTTTAACGCTCCAGTTCGGTGAATCAATGTGAATCAGGGAGCGCGGAGCGCTTCAGTCTGCCAGGCGTTTGTGCCCACCTTCATCCTCAGCCAAGTGCTTAAGGAGTTCAAGGCCAGCAGCCGAAGCACTTTCGTCAAGAGCAGCAGCGCCAGTAAGCAGATGTTAAAAGTGTCCAGTGACTCGTTGGCCTTCCACAGCTGCACACAGAATCGTAAAGTGTAGACGGCAATTCCCAAGCTAGACACCGCAACACAAAGGCGCTTCATGCTGATGACAGCCTCCACCTTCTCTGGGCTCACAGTGCCGTTGGGGGAGGCTTCGCGCACGCGGCTGCCCAAGCGCGTCACCAGCGCCGCGTCGCAGAGCCACAACAAGACCACGGAGACCCCCAGAACCACCAGAATCACCTCAAGGAAGGTGGCCTCGTCATAGTTGTGGACCATGAGCGACACGCTGGAATAGACGTGGATTGCGTATATTACGACAAGCATCACGTCTGCGAACGCACAACGGCGGAACAGAACGAAATAATCTGCCAGGGTCTTGTCCGCAGTCTGGGTGACGAAGCTGAGGTATCGGCGGCACATGGCGTGAATGGCAAGATGATGACCAAGAACTGGTAGACCTGGCCTCCCTAGGGAAAATTACGCTTGAGCTCGAGCGAAAGCTTGCCACCAGCCGGAGAAGAAGCTCATCACTGCAACTGCGGAAACAATGTACCATGGCTGGAAGCATGGGCTGCCAGCATTAAGAGGTTGTAGCTATGGGGTTGGGGCTCAGGGGCGGGACCCTCAAACAGGTTTCATGACTTCCCGTTGAGGGCGAGAACACTAACCTTGAAAACTCTGCGCCCTTAACCCCGGGCACCTCAGCAGGCAGCATCGGACGGGTCCTCGATTCTGTGACAATCTCGTCAAGTGCCTGCAACCAGTGCAACCCTTCATAGAGGGTATAGGGTTCGGCTTTGGTTCGGGGTTGGATCCAAAACGTACGCAAAACCAAATCCTTTTGGGAAAGAGCGTCAAAGTAGTACACATAACTAACACCCTACAGCACCCGTAGCTTCAAAGATTTAAGGCCTTTCCCGCCTACATTGGCAGTCTGCCGTTCTGTGCATCCAGCCACACACCCCAACCAAGATACACTCCATCGGCCTGAAGGAACTTTCCCCAGGTCTCGTCGGGCTTGCGGGACCAGTGGGCACGGTTCCTCGACAGCTCGCAAAGTGCCTCAGCAGCCCCAGGCCCCCACTTTAGCACACGTGCTGCCACTGTCGCCCCACATTGTTAATGCATTCCTTCGCTATCATGTCGGTGACCCCT